TCTATGTGATTCTGTTCCCAGGAATCCCAACGGGGAGGGGCTTCCCCCTTGGCCAGTATATGACCAGAAAGAAGGGTACCTTCAGATTGGCGTCACCACCCAGGCAGCCGAGAAGCTGAAAGACAAGGAAGTGGCTTTCTGGAACGAGCTCCTGTCCAAGGAGGCGGCAAAGAAGCCACCCCAGTTAAAACATGCTGAGCTGTGAACAGGAGGCTCAGCTGGCCTTGGGGGCTTGTGGGACCCCAGACAGGAGTATTCTATAGAAGGTGTTTGTGGGCCTAAGAGGCATCTTATTGTGGAGGCTGGGGAATTATCTGATGGGAGTAGCAGAGGTCAGGGAGGGGGAATTTCTGTTTCTGTGGCCTCAATTTTGGAAATAAATATTCTTTTGGAGACCAAGTCAGTGTCTTTGTCTAGGGCTGGAATTAAGTCATCCTCATTAGCGAGAGAAGGATGAGAGAGGGCACCACTGGCAGGAAGGTGACTCGGGCAGCTCTGGCTTGGCCTCTGGACAGGAAGAGTCCAGTAGGCTGGGCCCTGGGAGGGGCTGAGGGGGACACTGCATCTGCTCCATGTCTCTGGGCCGTCAACAACTCCAGTAAGTGGATGTGAGGGAACCAGAGGGCAGTGTCCCTCTCCTCCATGTGGAGCCGCCTGTAGACATGGAGGGGGCACAGACCGAGGATGTACCTGGAGTGGGAAGGAGGGGGACTTGCCATGGTGACACTGTGGCACTGTTGTGTGGCCCTTACTGACCCTCCCACAGGTCTACAATTCTTTCTTCAACTTACACAGTATCCTTCCAGGCCCCTCCCTGAGGCCGTCTCTTCCAGCAATTCCTCTGAACCCTTTCTGCAGCCTGGACCACATCAGGTACAAGCAATGACCACCTTGAAGTGCGTCCCTGAAGTGTCACGTGAAAACTGACTCTTTCAGAACCCCTGGGGTGACTTCTGGCTCCTGGGATATAGAAAGCTCTAAGGAATGCCACTCCCACCTTAACAGAAAGAAAAAAGTGGATTATCCTCAAAATCATGACTTTCTCTGACTCATTCAAAGAGGTTGCAAGGCAAACAATTACCCTGAAATCTCGGGGAAGACAGGCATTTTGAAGGAGGGATGGGAAGTGAACACTGGCTTACCGTCTGGAGACAGATGGAAGATGGAGTCACCATATGTGTGAGTACAATTACTCTTAAAATTCGAATCGAGGGCTAAAGGCCAAACATAGGTGAGTATGAGAGTATAAAATCGTCAGGAGCCACAGACCCACAGTAGAGTACAGGGCCTCATTACAGGCCCTTCTCCATGGACCTCCATCAGGGACCTGTGAGAAATATTGGGAACAGGTAGTAAGACCAGAGGATGCAGGCTTGAAGCCCTGCCCAGACGCTTCTCCCCCTAAGAAACAAAATCCCTTAACCACTGGGAAAAGGCAGCAAACCCATTCCCCTTTGGCCCCTGGGGAAGACCTATTGAAGCTGAGGGAAAGGAAAATTTAAAAACCCTCTGCTACTGGGAAAGGGACAGGAAACTAACCTGGGTCCCAATCATTAAAGGTCTTTTACTGCAGGGGAGGGGAGAATCACTGAGAAAACCCCGTGTCCATGACCAAGGGACTGCCTAAGATTGCGGCTGGACCAGGACACAAGAACCCGCCCCTGGATTCCACCACCAAGTTATCAAGCAGTAAGTACTGAGCAGCAGAAATCCACCACTGGGGGAGGAAGAACGTGTGGAGAGAGACTCCCTGAGGGGCAGGAGCACAGGGCAGGCCCAGAACTGAGGGCAAAACAGGAACACTGAGTGAAACCTTTCAGCACGCCCTCCCCCTCAGCACAAGGTAGTACAAAAAGAATTTGAAGCAGGTGGTGCACTTAAGAGAACCATAGCAGAACCCAAGCTCTGCTCAACTCCTGACTAAATTGCCTCAAGTCCCCCAACACACAGTCACATGCACACACACACACACACACGCACAAACCCCAGTCTAGTAGAAGAGGCATGTCCATCCCCAGTCATAAACACTATTTACTTCAGTTTCTTCCCCCCTGCACAGGGTGTTAAGCATTTCATCTAAAATTATAAACACACACAAAAAAAGGAGAGAGGAAAAAACACACTAAAAGGGCAAAGCAGTCAGTAGTACCAGATTCAGAGATAACCCAGGTGTTAGAACTACAAAAGTAGGAATCTAAATAACTCTACGAAAAACTTACAAGAGCAGATGGGTAATTTCTGGAGAGAGAGAGAAGCTCTAAGAAAGAAGCAAATGGAAATATTAGAAATTAAAAAGAATAGTAAGATATGAAGAATACCTCCAACGGGAACAGATTTTTGGTTGCCAAGGGGGAGGGGCAGTGGGGGAGGGATGGATTGGGAGTTTGGGATTAACAGATGCAAACTATTATATATAGGATGGATAAACAACAAGGTCCTACTGTATAGCACAGGGAACTATATTCAATATACTGTGACAAACCATAATGGAAAGGAATATGAAAAAGAATATATATATGTATAACTGAGTCATTTTGCTGTACAGCAGAAATTAACACAACATTGTAAATCAACTATACTTTAATAAAAATTTTTAAAATAAATAAATAAAAATAGGACTGTCCAAAAAAAAAAAAGAATAACTCCAATGGGTTCCTCAGTAGATTTGAGGCAGTTGAGGAGAGAATGAGTGAACTTTAAGAGAGGGCCATATAAATTACCCAAGTTAAATAAGAAGAAAAAGTAGTGGAGAAAAAAGAACAACAGTACAGAGGATCCAAGAGATGTGTGACAATATCTCATGTCCAATATATGTGTACCTGGAATCCCAGAAGGAGAAGAGAGAAAAAAAATGGATAGGAAAGATATTTGAAAAAAAGATAGCTGAGAATTTTCCAAAATAGTGAAAGACAAAGATCCCAGGAGATCAGACAGGCAGCGATGGGATCTATTTTCCAGGGTCCTCACACAATTCAGTGCTGCAGCATCACTGAGTGATTCCTCCCTGGACAGGGGGCCAGGCTACAGAAAAGTAGAGACCCAGGGAGCCCAGTCTCACTTCATCAGAAGCAGGACTTTGTTATGTAATCCAGGGTGTCTCAAGCTCAGTACTGACATTTCGGGTCAGAAGATTCTTCGTTGTGGGAGCCGTCCTGTGCATTGCAGGGTGTTTAGCAGCATCCCTGGCCTCCACCTACCCTATGCCAGTAGCACTCCCCTAGAGTGACAACCAAAAATATTTTCAGATATTGCCAAACGTCCCCTGGGGCGCAAAATAATCCCCATTTGAGAACTGGTTCATTTATCTAGTAAGTCCCCGGGGGAAGGGGTTGGGGGGCAGGGGATCGTAGGTACATTGAAAGCTGGATACGTTTTTTTAAAATCAGCAACATAATTTAGCTATGGTTACCCAGAATTCTAAGTACTCCCCCTCGCAGTGCCATAGATCTCAGCTCTTTGGTTCATATCGGCAAGTCTGAGGACTACAGTTTAAAAAGGGATTGACTTTTAATGGATGTCTGCTGCCACCTGGTGGTAATTTAGTTCATTGCACTCTGCGGGAAATCCCAATTTAGTCTTACTGGTCAACCAACCAGCGCATCAAAAAGTTAAGACAATCAGATTTGCTTTGCTCAGATCTTAGAAAGTAGTTCTAAGTTCACAGATGACAGGCCCTTGGGAAAACAATTCGGAGTTAGCATACACTGCTATAAGCAGTGACCCCCCCCTTTTTTCTAAAGCCTTAGTTTGAATTTTTAGGACATTAACTTTGTCCCCAATTTCCCTGCTACCAAAAGTCCTATTTGCAATGCATTTATAAGTTATAGTCAGGCACAGTTAAATTCATTTTGTGAAGATTTTTTTGAGAATTTCATAGTACAATTGGAGATAATTAGACATATTTAGGATGCCATAAAATGGGAACATCTTGTATTAAAGCAGTATTTTCCAAATTTGTCTGACAGAAAAAACAAAGTGATACACTAAGCCCAAGGCAGGGCCCTCCAGCGACTGTTAGCAGCAAGGAGGGCTGTGGACCTCAGTGTCCGGAAGTGTCAGAGCTGTTGCTATGGTGACCTTGAATGCTGGCTGACCTTGAGGTTGGTGAATAATCCCAAAACTCGGTTTCCAGGTTTGTGCCACCTCCCTGTCCCTCTGGGCCCAGATAAAATGGTTATTCAGAGCTCAGTCTTGAACAGAAGCCAAGTTCCACAACTGTTATTAATATGAATAATACTTAATAGCAATAACAACAATGTTTCAAGAGGCTTCAAGAGAATTCAAGTGAGTGCAGCTAGAACCTTGGTCTGTTCCTAACACAGCGGCCGGACTAATCCTGGTAGAACATGTCATCTTCTGTTCCAAACCCTCCAATGGCTCACCACTTCTCTTGGAGTAGAAACCAAAGTACTTATGTTGGCTTACAAGGCCCTACATGACTCCCTCCCACCAGTTCCATTTGCCTAGTCCTGTACCTCAGGACTGTCAAAAATGTTCTGCCTCAGGGCCTTTGCACTTCTGGTCCCCTGTGCCTGGGATGCTTTGTCAGTGGCTCCCTCCATCATCTCCTTCAAGTCTCATTGTCCCCCCCTCAGAAACTTACCCCATTCCCCTTCCCAGCTTTATTTTTTTCCTGAGCACCTGTCATTTTCTAACTTCCCCTAACAGAATGCACATTCCATGGGGCCAGGGACTTTACTAACGGAAAAATCCTTGCTTTCTGCAGATGTTAATTGGCAGGGTGTGTACATTAGAAAGTCAGACAAGCAAACTTGTGAATTAAAGTTCTATCTCTTTGGAAACAGGGACATTATTTGAAGGAAACCATTCATAAGCCATTATATATTTATCATGAAAGATGCCTTATAATTATAGTTTAAAATGCATAATTTTTTTTACTTAGCCCATGAAGTAATATAATAATCCCCTTATTGGCTTTATAGGTTCAGATGAGATCTGACCTACATTCCCTCATTTCTTCTGCTTGTTACCTTAAGTGTTTATTCGGTCAAGGAAGACCCAAGAACAGTGAACGGCGGCTGTGAAGTAAATTGCTGTAGACTTTAGAATAACCACATTGGAGAAATTAACTGTGAGTGCTGTGGGGACTCTAACAAAACCATGAATTTAATCACTGATGGGTCTGGGGTCTGAGGATCTGGGGTCAGTATCAGATATGGCATCTGAAGGCTGGGGTCAATCCTT